TGGAGCTGTTCCTATTCGGCCATCTTGCTCTGCCCCTCCCTACCAGTGTTTTATAACTATCTGGGACTGGTCTCCCCCATCCTCACAAGCAGCATGAATCCTCTTCATGGTTGCATGTCAGTCCCCAGCCCAAGCCTCCTGTGGTTGGTTATTTGTTGACTTATTTCTAGGATAGTGGTTCTCAACTGCGGGTGATTTTTTCTTGGTGAAACCCCATCTCTACTAAATATACAAAAATTAGCCAGGCATCATGCTGGGCACCTGTAGTCCCAGCTACTTGGGAGGCTGAGGCAGGAGAATCAGTTGAACCCGAGAAGGAGAGGTAGCAGTGAGCCAAGATCATGCCACTGCACTCCAGCCTGGGTGGCAGAGTGAGACTCCGTCTCAAAGAAAAAAGAAAAAATAATTTAACCATATAATCCTCAGAAAAAAAGCCCTTTGTTTTATGTAGCTCATGATGTAAATTCTAGTGCCACCCCCAATATTTAGGTAGTGAATTAGATGGGACTTCTAGTGCACTGGAAGCTAGGATATTGAAGGATGAATTGTTGCTGACACAGAATAACATGGAATTGACCTATACAATGAAGTAATAGGAAAATAAAATCCTATTGTGCTTTAAATTTGGCGTGTGTCTTGGCAAAGACAGAAAACATCAGAGAAGGTTTTGATTCTTCCCTCCAGAATTGGCCATATGTTTGTTTTTTTTTTTTTTTATTGTCCATACGATATGAATTCTTGTTTTATTATCAGCTTTCAAAAAATTACTGTTTTGAAAGTTTAGAAATCTGAGTTGGAGAAAGAAACATTTTAGGAAATGTTAGGAAAAGGAGACAGTGACTCATATTCTTAAATAGTTCCTGTTGATATTTGCAATTTCAAACTTGTCTCTGGAAATAATTATATAATTGTATGGAGAGAGTCAAGTCTTGATCTTTACCCTTGGGGACTTCTTTTGGCAAATTAAATGATTTATACCTGAAGAGACAATTTAGCTTCATGTTAAATTTCAAAATCCAAGAAATACTTTCTTTTCAGTAGCTGTCAGATTGTATTGACGATCATCAGCTTTTCAGATGAGTGTTATTAGTTCAGTTTTGGAGATTGCCTGTATGTGTGGTACTGTCTTGTAGTTTTCTGAAAGAAGACTGGAGTATTTATACTTATTTTTGTGGATTCTGTGAGGTAAAGTCTGGCTTACAGTTGATTTAACCTCTTCTTGGTCTTGGTTACTTTTGAATTTTGTCAGAACAGAAGTTTAAGCTGCAGATACTGTGTTCAAAAAGGTCCTTCAAGAAATATAACTGTAAGGAAATGGAATGATAGATGTATATAAATATGAACTTGAATCAAGTATGCTTTGTATTTAAAAATATGCCTTTCTTTTAATTTTTTTCAGCCAAGTTCTATAGAAATTTTAGAGTATTCATCAGATAGTGAAAAAGAAGATAACTTGGAAAATGTCCTACTCATTGGTTCGGAATCCCCTCACAAATACCACCTGGAGTTTGAATCAGATGCAAGACAGATTGTGGAGAGACTGATAGACCCAAAGACAAAATCGAGAGAGACCATTTTGCATACACCTCAGAAACCCACAGCTAAGTTTCCCAGGACTCCAGAAAAGTCAGCGAAGAAGCAGCTTTTAAGGTTAAATTATACCCTTTTAAATACTCTTTTTTAATTTTTCTCTTTCTTTAAAAACCCAAATATCTGAAATGTTAATTTTAAAATACTTCTATATGAAGTCCTATGTTCTGGAGCCGATTAATAGAATGTTCGTCCAAGTTGAGGGTCATAGCTTCAGTCATGCCCAGCGGATGTGACTGCCTTTCTTAATGGAGATTTATTTGAGTTATCAAATGTTATTGAGAGTCAGTGTTCTAGGTGCTGTGGAGACAAGTATATAATTGTTCTGTTCTTGAGTAACTTACAATCTAAAAAGGGAAATGGAAATATGTATACATCGTGTCAGATTACTTTTATGAGAGAGATCTGCCAGGGCAACACTTGCAAGTGCAAAAAAAGTATGAGAGAGCAGAACCCACAGACAAGACGTGTCTGGTGTGCCATGAACTACAGTGTCAGTCTGGGGCTAGGCTGTGGCCATGATGAGCAAAGCAGGAAAGATAACATGAAGGAGCCTGTAGAGACCTTCCCCAATCCTGTGTAATACAAGGTTCTCTTTGTTGTTGAACCAAACAATGCCAAGCAAAGACTCAATGAAAGTAAAAAAGAGAGGCCGGGGGGTGGCTCACGCCTGTAATCCCAGCACTTTGGGAGGCCGAGGCGGGTGGATCACGAGGTCGGGAGTTCGAGACCAGCCTGGCCAACATGGTGAAACCCCGTCTCTGCTGAAAATACAAAAATTAGCTGGGCATGGAGGCACGCACCTGTAATCCCAGCTACACGGGAGGCTGAGGTAGGAGAATTGCTTGAACCTGGGAGGTGGAGGTTGCAATGAGCTGAGATCGTGCCATTGCACTCCAGCCTCGGTGACAGGGCAAGACTCTGTCTCAAAAAACAACAACAAAAAAAGAAAGTAAGAAAGAGAACCTGTATGAAGCATGGCCACAAAAGCAAAAGTAGTAGAGCATTTCAAGGCAAAGGAGTTTCAGTAGAAAGAGTGAATGTGATCATGAAGAGTGTAGGTGTTGGATCCACAGATGATATTTTAACATCATGAGAAGACAAGCCTGGTGTGCACTGAGGGGTGCCCAGGGTCTGTGGCTGAAGTAGAACACGGTTCAAGGAGTGAAGACAGGGTCATGGCTCTTATGTGGGAGTTGGGGACCAGGCAGGAGGGCTTTGATTCCTCTCTTCGGGATTGCCAGTCACCTGGAAAAGATCCAGCCTCTAGAGAAGGTTCAGGGAATAGGAGAGACAGATTTTGAAAACAATGGGGTTCCGAATAAACAGAGTTTGCACCGTAGCTCAATCAGCATCCTGAAGAGGAGGTAGGGAAGGAAGGTGGAGAGGAGAGACCCAGCTTGAGTACACCCGTGGAGGAAAGAGCATGAGGATGTGGCCAAGTCTAGCGGTATGGCCAGGGCACAGAGATCCATTCGTGCCTACTCACCATGAGACAGAAGGCCTTATGCCCAAAGTAAAGACGTTGTGGCCTCAAAAAAGAATGTAATTTGTAATAGTAATAGAATGTAATTTGTAATAGAAGGTGGTTTGTAATAGTCTCTGGGAAGAAAGGAAAGGAAGCCCATTAGAGGAATTAGCATGTCTTTGTTGGTGAAGGTGATGCCATGCAATTACAGAAAGTCATGTCCCCAGCCCTGCTGAGGGCCTACCACTTGCCAAGCACTGTTCATGCACAGGAGCAAGCAAAGTAGAATGGTTGCTCATAACAGAGAGCAAAGGTGAATGGAGCCCGGCCTGTGTCGGGGGAAGGGTAATACGGAGCCAAGAAGTAAAATAGATGTCAAGTCAGAGAGAGAAATTTTATGGAGAAAAGGCAGAAAAAGGGGGACAGAGAAGGGTCCAGAGGTGGGGGAGGACATTTCAGTTTGAAACAGGCTCAGGGAAGCCCTGAGGAGGTGTCTTATTGAGCAGCTGGAAGAATAGAGTGTGCAGTGGAGCAGGTGCTTTTGTTTTTGTGTCTTTGATTGACAATCATGAGGCTTTTGGCCATTTTCAGTTAGACATTATACATCTTAGTGGGACTATGAGTCTGCAGTCCACGGGCAGGCTTGGTGTTGGAGATGTGAATGCGTAGACTTCAGTGTCCAGATCTTTTGAAGCATGAGCTAGGTCAGGTCACAGGAGATCCACTGCTAGGCGAGAGGAGAACCTGTCCAAGGCCTGAGTCCTGGGTGCTCTGCAGAAGTTGGGGTGTGGAGGGAGAGACTGCTGAGGGAGGAGCCAAAACAAAGGGAGCATGGTGTGTTGAGGCAAGTGAGGAGAGAGGGTGACCCACTGTGACAGACGCTGCCAGGGCTGACCTCTGTGATTCCATGGTGAAGGGCAGGGTGTGCAGCCATCTCAGTGGCGTGACCAGGCAAAGCAGACTGCCATGGACTCGAGAGAATGGAAAGAGAGAAACTAAAGACAGCACGATGGAATTCTGGAGAAGTTTTGCTTTAAGGGGAACAGATCAATAGTGCATTAGTTGAAAGTGAATGTGAGGGTCAAGGTTTCTTATTTTAAAGGTGGTAGAAATTTCATCATGTTTGTATGTTGATAGGAAAGTCCAAGAGAAAAGGGGAAACTGCTGAGGCAGGGGAGGGAGGGGACAACTGATGGAGTTGTCTCTGCCATGGTGAAGGGAGGCACAAACAGGGGTGACTTTGTCAGGAGCTCAGAGTGTGCACCCATGGCCAGGGCAGGCAGAGCCCATGCAGGTGCCGGGAATGGACCTGGTGAGGAGCAGACAGGCCATCCACGGATAGCTGGGAAGGCGAAGTCCCTGCCGTTTCAGGCACGTGTATCTGACTTGGGAACTAGTTCTTTCTGATAATTCTATTCCAGTAAAATGGGGCAGTCCTTCATTAGCTGACAGGGAGGATGAGGAGGGAGCTGTGGAGGTCTGAGGAGAGAGAATCTGTGAAATGGGCATATAGTGGGGACAAATGAACTGGAGAAGGGCTCCAGGGCTGTCTTACAGGATCAGGCCCTGTTGGGAAGTCGTGGTCACGGACTGAGTTTGAGACCGATCAGCCAGTGTGGATTCGACCCTTGGGCTGCACATATGGGCAGAGCACAAGGATGGTCCGGGGGCACACTAAAAGGGGTTGACAGGAGTTCCGAGAGTAACTATAGTAATGACCTGTGAAACCTAAGCTGGGTAAGGTGGGAATGAGAACATGCAGGATGTGGATCATGGTGAGTTGCGGTAGAACTCACTGATTGAGGACTGGTGAAAGGTTGGTCAAACACTTATGGAGTCAGGCTACTGTAAGTGATGAGCTGGGGCAGTAAGGATGACAGGCGCCCAGAGTTGAGCCGCTGGAGGGAGGTAGTTCGGGACTTCAAGATTAGAGTAGCTGACGCGGGTAGAGGACACTGTCTTGGAGCTGGGCGGGCACTGACATGCCTGCCCTGGCACTGGGCAGGCTGGGTTGGAGCTGGAGTGTAACGGAGGGTGCCAAATGGTCTGGAAGCTGCAGTGAAGAGCAAGGCCGTCCCTTCGTGGCTTTTCAGGCCTGGTGAGAGGGTAGGGGAGAGAACACAGTGCTGTTTAAGGTCACTGTCAGGGAGTCTTCAATAGAAGGTGGAGAGGACATTCATAGAAGTGGCTGAAGCTGCTCAAACAACATGCGATTGATCATTTTCTTGTTGTGATTTCTAGGAATAACTAAATGAAGATGTCTGTTTTGAAGTTACTATGCTTAAATACTAAAAATGAGATAGGTGTGCTTAGGGTTGTTAGTCTCAGGCCTTCAAACTGAAGAGTTCCTGTTTCACTGAGCTGTCTAGAAAGGCCTGTGACTGCCTTGTCTGCCTTTGGTGAAGGGATGGTGGTTTGTAGTGATTAAAAACTTTTTTTTACCTGATAAAGGCCAGGTAGCAAGGATTGAGAGAGGTAGTTGGCATTTGAAGCCTGGAGCACACTGGCCCTTCTCTCTCTGGTTTGCCCTGTGGGAAATGTCACTCAGTCTCTTTTGGCTTTCTTTTTCTTTTCTTGTCTTTTCTTTTTTTTTTTTTTTTTTTATTCATGGAACTGTTTGAAGCATGAAAAACACCAATGCAAAATTGTTAGATGTTTAAGTGTATTGGTAATAATAAAGCTATATCTATCTCCCTATTTTGATGGTCAAGTTGTTTTTCACACTGTTTGTTATATCATGAAAAGACAAAATCTACATCTGATTGGTGTACCTGAAAGTGATGGGGAGAATGGAACCAAGTTGCAAAACACTCCTCAGGATATTATCCAAAACTTCCCCAACCTTGCGAGGCAGGGCAACATTCAAATTCAGGAAATACAGAGAACGCCACAAAGATACTCCTTGAGAAGATTAACTCCAAGACACGTAATTGTCACATTCACCAAAGTTGAAATGAAGGAAAAAATGTTAATGGCAGCCAGAGAGAAAGGTCGAGTTACCCACAAAGGGAAGTCCATCAGACTAACAGGGGATCTCTCAGCAGAAACTCTACAAGCCAGAAGAGAGTGGGGGCCAATATTCAACATTCTTAAAGGAAAGAATTTTCAACCCAGAATTTCATATCCAGCCAAACTAAGCTTCATAAGTGAAGGAGAAATAAAATCCTTTCAGACAAACAAATGCTGAGAGGTTTTGTCACCACCAGGTCTCCTTACAAGAGCTCCTGAAGGAAGCACTAAACATGGAAAAGAACAACTAGTACCAGCCACTGCAAAAGCATGCCAAATTGTAAAGACAGTTGATTCTAGGAAGAAACTGCATCAACTAACGAGCAAAATAACCAGCTAACATCATAATGATAGGATCAAATTCACACATAACAATAATAAACTTAAATGTAAATGAGCTAAAAGCTCCAAATAAAAGACACAGACTAGCAATTTGGATAAACAGTCAAGACCTATCAGTGTGCTGTATTCATGAGACCCATCTCATGTGCAGAGACACACACAGGCTCAAAATAAAGGGATGGAGGAAGATCTACCAAGCAAATGGAAAACAAAAACAAAGCAGGGACATTTGGGGTTGATT